GAAGGAAAAGTTCTATACTTTTTTGCATACCACTACAGCATATTCACTGGTGGGATTAACCATATATTTAGGTACTAGATATTATACACACACAAATATATATAACATATATATATATATATATATAATATTAAAATTTATACAGTGGAGATTAAAAGAAGTTTAAATTTAACTAGTCTTTTTTATATTATAAAAGAGAATTTGTGATATCACACAAAAATATGTACATGAATATATATATATATATATATATATATATATATACATATATATATATATGTACATATTTTTATTTTTATATTTATATTTATATTTATTTTTTTTATTCGATTATATATAAATTCTTATTATCATAATTATCCTCTTTACTTTCTTTCTTTTACCATCTCTTAGGATATTCCTTCATTCATATGTGGAATGATGCAGTGCATTATTCGTATAAGCATTACATAAGAAAAGAAGTAAGGCAAAAAAAAAAAAAAAAAAATATAATAATACTTATAATATATGCAAGATATATATTTTCATACTATAAATAATAAATAAATGACTATTTGTATTGTATGTGTATTGAACGTGTATGCATATTATATGTGTATGTAAATTTTTTTTTTTTTTTTTCTGTTTATATATAAGGCGTATTTATTTTTCTTATAAAAATTTAAAATGAAATAAACACTTTTTCGTTTTAAAAAAAATCAAATTGTAAAGAGTAATATATATGTATGATACGTTTATTAAGATAAATATCGGAAAATACATATTATTACAAATATTTATATATATATATATATATATATATATATATATTCATAATTACCTTATTATATATATTATGTACAAAAAAAAAAAAAAAAAAACATTTCGTATTTCATTGTATCTTTTTTTTTTATTCCAGAAACAACGCAAAGAATTGTATGAAAAAATTAGAAATGCAAGAGAAAATGGTTTAATACCAAAAAGTGAAGTTTTAGATTAAAAAAATACAATATATATATATATATATGTATATATTTTTGTATTTATTTTTATTTTTAGTTTTTTTTTTTTTATTCATTATAATTTTTTACACATACCATTTATATAACCACAAAAGTGTTTATAAACTTGTATGAACGTTTTAAATATATCATCTAAAAAAAAAAAAAAAATATCCAAATAGCCAAATTATTCAAATAGCCAAATTATTCAAATAGCCAAATTATCCAAAAAGCCAATTATCCAAATAGTCAATTATCCAAAAAGCCAATTATCCAAATAGCCAATTATCCAAATAGCTAATTATCCAAATAACCAAATTATACAAACTATCCATTTAAAAAAAAAAAAAAAAAAAATGCAAAACTTTTATAAGTCCTATTTAAAATATTACACATTGGCAATATTTTGCCTGACCTTCACTTTCGATTTTGTGAACAGCAGTTGTTGTCATTCAAAAAGTAACGATGGAGTCATGTTACCTATGTATTTTTCAAATAATGAAAATATAAAAATGTTATTTGACATATTTCGAGTAAAGAATAGATATCAATTTATATTGTGTAATATTTTGTGTATAATATTGGGTTTTTTTTCAGTATATATTAAAGTATTAAAAAAAAGACTTTATCATAGTGTAAAGAAAGTTGCTGATGGGGGAGACGGTTCTTATGTTAATATGAGTCCTTGTCAAAACGTTAATTATGGATTTTTATCATTTTTACATTATACTATAGATTATTTATTAATGCTAATTGTAATGACATTTAATCCTTATATATTTTTGAGTGTTATGACAGGCCTTTCTTCTGCTTATCTTTTTTATGGTCACTTGATATGAACCTTTTTATGGACATAAAAAAAAAGAAGAATATTAACAAAATATTTAAAAATTAGGAAAATGAAAACTGAGGTAAAAACATTTACATATATATGATAATAATTATTTAAAGGAATTTCAAAAGTACAATAAAATAAAGAACAAAATACAAAAATAATATGTTTGTGGAAATATGAACATATATATATATGTATATATATATATATATATATATATATATATATATATTAATTTTTTTTTTTAGTTTTACAATCATTTATATAAATTTTTTAAACAATGTAATGTTCCTATTCTAATTCATTTTATTTTATATATTTTTTTTAAATATAATATTTATATGAACATATATCCATCCTTTTGAGAGATGTTTCTTTTTTATTAACATATATAAAAAATAAACAACAAATAATTTTTAAGCATTATATATAATATATATATATATATATATATATATATATATATAGACTTGTGCACATATATATATATATATATATATATATATATATATATAGATTAAATATATAATTTTTTTTTTTTATATTTTTATTTAAATTTCCAAAAAAAAATAAAAAAGTATCACTTCAATCTTATAGTTTTATAAATATATTATATATATATCATAGGAAGAACCACATTAAAATTTCTTTTCTTTTTGTTTTTTTAAAATAATTTTTTGTACCTTAAAAAAAAAAAAATTGTAAATCTGTCCTACATATATATATATATATATATATATAATACAATTGTGTATTTTTTTTTTTTTTATTTTATTTTTTTTTTATTCTTAATATATGCAAAATAAACGACAATATTTTGTACTTTTCCAATGAAAGATATAAAAAATTAAAAAAAAAAAAAAAATTATAAAATCATTTAATATTAACACAAATGTCCATAACTTTATATGTATATATATTTTAACTGGTAAAAATATCATTTAAATGTTGAATATTTAAAAGCATAAATAATTTTTTTATTTTAAAAAATTCTATATGCTATTCTTTTGGCCATTGTGATTTAATAATTTGTTAATATAAAATATAAATATATATATATAATATATTTGTGTATTTTATTTATTTATTTATTTATTTATTTATTTATTTTTCTTCTTTTTGTTGTTGTGTTGTCGATATTTGGATTGATATATATTATTTCATTCTATCCTTTTTTTTTTTTTTTTTTTTTTTTTACTTATACAAATATTTGTTCTGATAATATATAATTAAAAATTTTTTTAATTATAAAATAAAAATACAATATGAATGTGAAAGTAGAGGAAGGGCATCCTTATAACAGTTACGCGGAAATAAAAAAGAGGAAAACCAAAAAAATAAAATATATACAAAATGATAGTGCGGGTGATAATGTGAAAGATTATGTGAAAGATTATGTGAAAGATTATGTGGAAGATAATGTGAAAGATAATGTGAAAGATAATGTGAAAGATGTTGTGAAAGATGATGTGAAAGATGATGTGAATGATGATGTGAAAGATAATATTGACGATAATGCGAACGATAATACAAATGATTATACAAATGATTATACAAATGATTATACAAATGATTATACAAATGATAATGTGAAAAACCATTTAAGCTACAAAAATAATGAAAAAAGTAATCCTAGACATAAAAAGAAAAATACATCGAAAAGTCATATATGTGATGGAAGAAAAAAGAATATTGAATTTCACAAGTTATATGAAAGTGATGGTAATAATAACATGATGTCTAGAACAAGTAGTGTTCAGAGTATACCTGAAGAAAAGGATATGAAATCATGTGTAAAAAAAAATGATATTAATTATAAAGTAAAATTAAATACATTAATGTTACAATCATATATACATAAAAGTTACGATAAAGTATCTAATATTCTAAAAAAAACATCACAGTCATTTATGAAAAAAAGTCTAAGTTATGAAGTGGAAAAAGTTAATGATAAAACTAGAACTAATATACAAAATAATAATAATAATGAACAGAATGAAACATATGGACATATTAATTATGAACACGATGATTTTGTACAAAACTATAACAAAATATTTAACAATAGGATTAATAATCAAACTAATGATTTATCAGATGAAGAAAAAAAGTTCTTTGACCAAAATTCACAGTTTATAAATAAAATGCTAGATGAAAATACTACTTGTGAAAAAAAGAAAAAAGAAAAAATTTTAAAAAAATATAAAAATAAAATTATAGAAAATAATGATATATCATCCTTGTATGATAAATTCAAAGAATTATTAGATGAGAAAACATTATTAATTAAATTAATTATATATTATAAAAATATGAATTACAATTATAAACAACATCTGGATAAAATTCAACATTCTTATGATATACTTATTTCGGAAAATGAGCAACTAAATTTAAATAATATCACTTTGAAAAAACATATCGATTTATTCAGAATCAATGATAATATAAAAAGAGATGATGACGAATATGTTAAGTGATTAATGAAGATACTACTACCTGCATAAGGTTTAAAATACAAAAGAAATAATTAATTGTTATATATATATATATATATATAATATATATTATTATGTACATATATTTCTAATCTTTTAATATTTGTTTGTTTGAAAAATATGCGAACGATTAGTATTATTATTTTTGTATCTTATACAAAATGATCACCTTTGTAATATGTACAATATTATAACAAAAAAAATAAAAAAAATAAATATATATATATATATATATATATATATATATATATATATAAATATATATATATTATAAATACTATATACCTTTTTTTTTTTTTTTAAGGTTTTGTATGTTTACATATATTTAAAGTAATATATGCAATAAAAATGGAATATATATTTATATTATGTGATTAATTTTATTGTATTAAGGCAAACATATTTATATATATATATATATTATATATATATTTATCTATTTATTTATTTATTTTTTCTATGTGAAAAATATAAACCTATTATAAAGTTTAACATAATAATAAATTAAAAAAATGAGCACAATATATAATATGATGTATTTAAATAAAAAGAATAATGAAGAAATTTAATCTTGTAAAACAGTTCAAACATATTTGTATATGGTAAAATGAATAATAAATTGTATATAAATATAAATATAAATATATATATATATATATAAATATATATATATATATATATATATATATTTATATTTATATTTATTGTTAAAAAAGCATTATTTTTGGGTACTGCATTTTTTAGCCGCTTTTATGCTTTAATAAAATATAAATAAAAGTGAATAATAAAATGCTATAACAAAATGAGATATTTAAATATTTTTCATAATTTTTTTTATAAGCTTATAATAAAAAATTATCTAGATATTTAAATACAAAAAAAAAAAAAAAAATAATAATAAAATAATAATTAAATAATATGAAATAAAATAAATTAACTATAGACATTCCCTTTTATTTTTTCAAAACATCCCTTTGCTCATCTTTTTGTCAAAACTATAAAAATATTAAAAATAAAATATAAAGGAAAATATATAACTATAAATATATATATATATATATAGAATAATATATACGTTATAAAATTATGTGTATATTTATTTATTTATTTATTATTTCTTTTACTTATTTCTATGAGATCGCCCCTTATTAACCGTTTTTTTTGAATAATATCGTTTCTTATCTAAAAAGTGTGGGGAAAAAAAAAAAAAAAAAAAAAAAAAAAAAAAAAAAAAAAAAACACATATGTATATATATATATATATATATGTATATATTTATTTATTTATTTATATAATATTTCATTTTACCCGATTGTATATTGTGCTCATCCTTCATATTTTTTATAGTGTTTAAATTATTTCTGTTATTTTTAAACGATAATGGTTGTTTATCATATAATTGATTGTTCTCTTGTTTTTTGATATTACCAGTTTGTTTCGTTTCTTCATCTTGATCTTGATCTTGTTGTACTTCATTTTTTCTATACTTATTTGAAATAATTATTTCGTTTTGAAAATTATGTAAAGATAAATCTGATGATTTTTCATCATTGCTTGATGATTCACTTATATTAAGTATTTTATTTTTATTTTCTTCATCTAATATATTATTTATATATTTATATTTATGTGTTTTCTTTTTTTGTGTATTTTTTATTATATTACGTTTTTTTAATAATTCAATTACGTTATGTAATTTTTTATTTTTAATATATGATATATCTTCATATATGTCCTTATCTATATTATTGTATTTTTCGATTTCTGGTAAAATTTTATTTATTTTTTTATGATAAAGCATATTATCATTATATTGTATTTTTTGCGCATTATATTTTATATCATCTTCTACATTATTATTATTATTATTATTAATATTATTATTATTATTATTAATATTATTATTATTATTAATATTATTATTATTATTAATATTATTATTATTATTAATATTATTATTATTATTAATATTATTATTATTATCATCACTGTTGTCATTATTTTTATTATTGTCCTGATTAAGTTGATTCATAAAAATATATTCTATCGTTTGAGATACATTAAAATTATATTTTTTTAAAATTTTTAAAATAAAATTATTATTGTTCAGATGTGTTATTTCTTTTATTTGATCGATTTCATTTTTATATTTTTTATGAATAACTTGTTCTACTTGTTCTGTGTTTTTTAAATTCATAAAACTATTTATATAAGCAAAAAAATCTAAATCAATTACATTTCCTTCTAATATATATTTATCAAGAAACAACCAATTACATAACTGTATGTCATTTTTTATTAATTGTAAATTTGTTTTATTGCTTTTCTCTTTTAACATATCAATAATAAGAGAAAAGTAAAATACACTGTTTTTACTATCACCATATTTTAAATTATATTTTATCAGCATATTTAAAATACACATATATCGGTACCTTAGAAATAGGATATCCTTCATATGACCATCGTTCAATTGGCTGTCATATACATGATTAATCTAAAAGAGGTGGCAAGCCAGGTGAGGTAAAAAAAAAAAAAAAAAATAAATAAATAAATAAATAAACATATATATAAATAAAAAGAACATATATATAAATAAAAAGAACATATATATAAATAAAAAAAACATATATATAAAAAAAAGAACATATATATAAAAAAAAGAACATATATATAAAAAAAAAGAACATATATATAAAAAAAAAGAACATATATATAAATAAAAAGAACATATATATATATATATATATATATATAATATCTTCATTACAATTGCAATTTTTATCCTTTACTCATAATATTTCTTGTTATTACCATTTCAACATATGTTTCAATAAAAATATAAAGAAAAGATGTATCTCCCTTTAACAACATGTCCTGAGATTTATTATCGTTCCTGCAGTGATCAATATTGTTTTTATTATCATTGTATATCATTAATTTTACGATAATTAATTCGTTGGATAATTTATTTTCATTTATATCAAAGTAATGATATTTTTTAAAAAATTTACAAAAACAATATATAGTAAAAAGTAATTCATTTAATTGAAAGATATATTGTGTTATCTTATTTTTATAAGTTATATAATGTTGTAATTTTTTTTTCATATTTTTTAATTCTTCATACAGATGCTTAATATATTTATAAATATAAAAACAATTAAATTGCGTTTTATTGTAAATATTATATATATACGTTTTAATTCTTTTATTTTTTTTATCTATAGTATAACACATCATAATAATATCCATCATGATATGTATTTTTATAAAAACATTTTTTAAAAACAAAACATCACATTTGTTTTTATTTAAATATATATCTATTAATTTTAAATAAAAATTTAAAATACACAAATTTAATTCTGTATTATATTTTTTATCATCACTTAATAATTCAAAAGGATGGTCATAATTTCGATCTGACTTTAATAAATATGAAAAAAAGTAAGACAACAAAGAATCATTTTTTTTTATTGTAAATAATATGAAATTATCATCTTGTTTAAGTAAATAATTAAAGCATGTTTTTATATATTCTACATATACTTTTTTCTTTTCTCCTTTTTCTTTATCTACATTGATATATATAAAACTTTCTTTGAAGTATTTATTTTCATCCATTATCAAAACTGAGTAAATATTAAAGCAACAATAAAATCATATAAACAAAAAATATAGCACACACAGGTATATACATATATATATGTATATATGTATATATATTTATTTATATCTGAATCTTTTTTATTTTTAATCTTTTAAAGCAAAATTTTCTGTTTTATTATTATTATTGTTCAGTTCAGATAAATTTTTTGAACTGTTTATATTTTTAATCAATTCAAAATTAGATAAGCTCTGACTATCTTTTGAACGATTCTTTATAAAATATTCACATTCAATATATCTTTGTGTACAATTCCATATACACTTTTTATTTGTATTGCTTAAACTTTTTTCTACAATAAAAGAAAAATATACATACATATATATATATATATATATAAATAAATATTTTTATTAAATCTTCATATAAATATGTGGGCTATATATAATCGTTCTATATACTTTTGTTATATATATATATATATATATATATATATATATATATATTTTTTTTTTTTTTTTTTTTTTTTTTTTGTACCTGGATAGCTAACACATTTATCAAAACAATAGGAGGAAATCTTACACGTTTCTTTAAATGAAGTAATAATCTAGGAACGAGAAAAAAAAAAAAAAAAAAATAAAATAAAATAATGAAGTAAAAATAAATTAATTAATCAATCAATGATAAAATATAGAAACATAACATCACATTAATATATATGACAAATATTTATATGCAAAATTATAATATATATATATATATATATATATGTATATATTAATATATGTATGTATTTAAATGGTCTTACCTTATTTAATGTATTCAATTGTGTTAAAAAATTATCCAAGTTTTCTTCTTTTGCTTTATTTTCCATTTTATAATAATAGCATAAAAAAAGAAAATAATAAAAGAGCAAAAAGAAAAAAAAAAAGGATGAAAAAAAAAAAAAAAAAAAAAAAATTATTTATGTATAATATTTATATATATCTCTTCAATTTTAGATTTGTTGTATTCTATCTAATTTAAATGATATATTTATAAAATAATACAAAAAAAAAAAAAAAAAAAAAAAAAAAAAATTAAATGAATAAATAAATAAATAAATAAATAAATATATATATATATATATATATATATATATATATATAATTATATAAAATAAAATAATATAATTATAAACGTATAAATTATATGATAATAAAATAAATATAAATAACAATGAAATGACATATATTATATAATGATCATACGTGTATAATATATATATGACATACTATATACAATATATTATACATATATATATATATAATATAATTCATTATTTAAAAAAAAAAATATAGAATATTTTCTTTTTTTTTTTTTTTTTTTTTTCTTTTTTTTTCTCGTATCTATTTGTGCTCCATTCATGTATTAACAATCATAATATTTAAATGATGATACAATTTTTGAGAAAAAAGAAAAAAAAGAAATTGCCTATATTTTAATTTTTATTTTTTTATATATTTTTTTAATGGAAAGAAAATATGAATGGGTAATATTGTAGGTTTCCTTTTTTTTTTTCTTTCCTCTTCTTCTTTCTAATTAGCTTATTTTTTTTCATCTTTTTTTTTTTTTGTTATACATTTAGAATCTCATGAGAAAAGAAAAAAAATGAATAACATTAATAAACAATTAGTTAAGGACATATACCATATAGGTTAGAAAAAAATAATATAATGATAAATGAAAATATATCTATATCAATCTATGTATATATGAATATATATATATATGAATATATATATATATTTATATTATACATCACAGTATGTTTTATTTATTTGTTGATATGTCCTCTTATTATATATACGATGTTGATATGTAATTTCCTAGTTGTAGTAGTTTTATATTAAAAAAAAAAAAGAAAATTACATATTATTTTGCTTTATATTTTATATTGTTAGGCCTAGAACATAAGGAAGCAATAAGTATTGATAGTTTAGAAGAAATATATGAAAAGAAAAAAAAAGGAAAATTAAAAAGAAATGAAATTGTTTATGCTCTTAATATTCTTGAAAATGCTCGTGCATGTTCTATAAAAAATGAGAACAATACAATTATAACTCGTATGAGAAATGAACAAGTCACAAAAAAATTAAAAGAATTGAGTGATATAGATTTTCTGATTTTTACAAAAGTTGAAAACAGTCAAAACAATGGAATATGGACAGCTGATTTGAGAAAGCAGACCAAATTATTGGTATATACATAAAAATAATAATTTTGTA